GATATGCTGAAGAGTGCTCAGGTGAACAATAGAATCAAGGGTTTCATTGTGAATGAAGAAAACCCTCTGGGAAGTTCTATATCCCATTTACAATATGCCTCTGGGAGCTAAGAGTAAGTCCATGAACATATGGAACTCTGTGGTGGAAAAGTGTGAAAAGAAGCTAGTTAACTGGAGAAGTCAATATTTATCTTTGGGTGGCAGAGTCACCCTTATCAATAGTGTTCTTGATGCCATGCCAACTTACATGATGTCCCTTTTTCCAATTCATGGAAAGATCATCAAAAAGTTGGATGCTATCAGAAGAAACTTTCTTTGGCAAGGTAATGGTGAAGGGGGGAAGAAGCATCACTTGATCAAGTGGGAGATTGCTATAACCAACAAAAAAGAAGGAGGTTTAGGAATAAAGAACTTGAAAGCACAAAACAAGAGTCTTCTGTTAAAATGGCTATGGAGACTGGCAGCAGATGAGCAGGGCCTGTGGAAGGACATCATCATTGCAAGATATGGTAGGGAAGGACCATGGACTACTCAGGAAGTTAAAATTCCTTATGAAATGGGACTATGGAGAACTATCAGAAATCAATGGCCAAAAATGTGGGGTAATACTGTGATCAAAGTGGGCAATGGCAGAAAGACCTTGTTCTGGAATGATGTATGGGTGGGGCAAACACCTTTAAGGCAACAGTTTCCGGACATTTATAATCTTAATCAACAGAAGCTAGCTACAATCTCACAGATCAAAAATGCACAAGGTTGGAATCTGTCCTTCAGAAGATTCCTCAATGACTGGGAAGTGGAGAGAATGATCCAATTCTACAATACTTTGGAACAAGCTAAGAGCCTTAATTTTGAGGAAGATAGATTGTTGTGGAAGATGGATAAAGATGGCAAGTTCAAGGTGAAATCAGCATACAAGCTACTGGATATCTCAACTGAAACCAAGGAAGGTTGGCCATGGAAGATGATCTGGAAAGGGAAGATACCTCATAAGGTGGCTTGTTTCACCTGGCTAGTTGCACATCAAGCAGTTCTGACTCAGGACAACCTTATGAAAAGGGGAAGGCAGTTATGCTCCAGATGTTTTTTTTGTGAAGCTGAAACAGAGACAGTAAACCATCTTTTTTTACACTGTAAAGTGACTGAAAAATTATGGCAATGGTTCATTAATCTCAGGGGTATTAGATGGGCCATGCCAAGACATACTGTAGAAGCTCTAGCATGTTGGAATAGGGATGGAAATCAATCAGGACACAAGGAGAGATGGAAGATTGTCCCTGCATGCATCTGGTGGACAATTTGGAAGGAGAGAAATCAGAGATGTTTTGAGAACAAGAGCATTTCCTTCCAAAGTATGAAGATGAACTGTCTAGCAACATTCTACTTTTGGTGTATTCAATCTGTACCTAAGGATATAGGGGACATCACTCTGTTTTTAGATAGTCTATAATGGATATAGGTGATAGATTTGTTTTGGATGTTCCTTCATATTTTTGATGTAACTACTTAGGAGCACACTATTGGTGTACTTCCTTCTGTTTATAATACCAGTTAACTTTCTCAAAAAAAAGGTTTCTTATGAAAAAAATACCTATAGAAAAAACTCTTACAAGTTGTGAAAATTGTATAGAATAATGCCATTAATAGAAGAGGAAAATGTCATATTTGCCTCTCTGCTATTGAAAAAAGTTTAATATTGCCCTTCTTAATATAATCGATCCATGTATGCCCTTAATGTTATACTATTGGTCCATATATGCCCTTACTGTTATACTATCGGGTCCATATATGCCCTTAAATTTATAAAAGTGGCTCAAATTTGCTCTTCATCTGATAAGTGATAACCCCATCCATTTGCTGAAAATGGCATGCCAACTCACCACTCCAATCCTTCTTCTCCCACCACAACCCAAAGTCACCAACACCTTCACCTACCATCATCACCAACATAATGATTCTACTTAGTATTGCATTTGTTAGGTGTTTTGATCTACTGCACATCATCTCCCCGTTTTAAAGCCAACAAACTATTTTTCAGATCATTTTGAATTGTATTCGGTCCGTAAGTGTGATTTATTCTGAGGAAGTTGCTTTGAGTTTTTTGGACAGAAAAAAGGTCTCTGTTTAGTCTGCCTTTGATTTGCTGAGGGAGTTTCTGCAGATATAGGCATGTAAAGATACTGTCCAAATTGTATTTATGGGTTTGATGACAATCAAACTAATATGTTACATCAGATGTTCCATCATCATTTTTGTAGATTGAATAATTATAGTTGTTAATCAGTGGCTGGTAGAAGCTAAGCGTAGGCCGTATGCAAATGGATGGAGTTAACAGAGGAAGGGGAAATTTGAGCCACTTTTATAACTGTAAGGGCATATATGGACAGATAGTATAATATTAAGGGCATATGTGGACCAATAATATAACGGAGGACAATATTGAACATTCAATAATAGAGAGCAAATACAACCCTTTCCCTTAATAGAATGGTCGCACACATTTTAGTACATCACCGAGTTAAAAGTGTCTTACAAATTGGACTAAAGAGTATTATTCTATTATATAACATAATAATTTATGACCTTAGTTTTGTTCTAAGCAATAATTCAATTCTTCAAGAATCAACTTGAATTTACTTTCAATTTAGTATAAATGGAGCATGTCAGGACACATAACTGAGCTTTTGGATTACTGAAACATCAGAGGAAGGAATTCCAGTCAACTAAAATGAATTGTTTGCTTTTGTTTTATTTTTGGTGTAAACAGAGTTATGTAAATGATGCTGAAGCAGTGATAGATCTCATAGAATCCTTTTAAGATAGAATGGGTATTCTTCTGGCGCTTTGTAAATATTTTTGACAGCTATGTTTGCTTGGACTATCCAAAATGTTGCTGCACATGTGTCGGTTCACATTTTTGGAGGGCCTAGAACCCGCCCAAAGGCGTTTTGAAGAGTCAGAGCAACATAGTTTGACAGCACCTTGTGGTACTACATCTATACAGTGTTATCAAAGGCGCGCTTAAGCCCTAAAGCGAGGCTCAAAACATGTTGAGCGTTTCGCCTCGCTTTATGTGCGCTTTAGTGTCGTCATCAAGGTTCTAAGGCAAACATTTCCTTGCCAATGAGCCTCTTATGAAGAAGTGAAACTAAATAATTGATATTTCACTTTATCATAATTTTTTTTTTCAATTTCTTTGGTCATATATTTGTCATTCATGTTTATAATTATTAGTCTTGGACTAAGCATATATATTTGTATTCTTTTCTCCCTTTGTGCCTTTTTTCATTAAAGCCCGCGCTTTATTTGCGCTTTGTGCTTAAAGCCCCCACAGACCTCAGAGCTTTTTTGCGCTTTTCGCCTTTGATAACACTGCATCTATAATCCACTTAACATTTTTCAAAAAAAAAAAATTAAAGTATTTTTGAAGAGGTTTAATATGAAATAGAAGAACTGAGAAGGATGAGATAATGTGTAAAAGATAGGAGAATGAAGCGTAGTAAAATACAGTGAAGAATATTTTAGTAACAGATCTGTTAAACTCTATAATTGCTCTAGTCAATTGTAGGATTGTTGGGAACATTTTTGGCTTAAGGCTTTTAGGAGAGATCCACTAGTTCTTAATCAGAAAGAAAGGAGAGATCAACTGGTTACGTAGTAATTTGTGTTAGGGTATAATAACCTACAAACATTTTACCTAATTTTTAGCATAGTTATAGTCCCCCTTTTTGTTGTTTCAATTGAAGTACTGTACTTTGTTACAGTAGTGACCTCAATAACATCATTTCCACTCATTATATGAATTATTTCTGCAGATCGCTGGTAGATTTGGCTCCCAAATTCCAGTAATTACTTCGATATCCCAAGGAATTTTTGGGCAAAATGCTACCACTAATGAGTTTGAAGAGGTGAATCTAATGGATATAGATTAGAACCTATTTGGGATTGCATTCTGACTGCTTTTAACAAGAATTGAAGTGCAGAAAAATGATGTTTTTTCCAGGTTCAGTGGGACACGTTTGATGATGATGAGGAGGCTCATGCCGATCTTGGTAATGAGATCCACGGTGCTTTACTAACTGTTGGCTTCTTGCCAGGACTGGCAATTGATTTAATCTCATTATCAAAAACTCGGGTAATTTTTTGCTCCAGTAGTCCTAACTTATCTTTAAAATATGAATGCCTGCCTTATTGAGAGAAATTTGAACTTCCACCTTTTAACTTGATTTTCAGTTCAAATTTTATGAAGTTCCTACTAGAGAATTTGTGCTAACTTGATTCAAAATGGGATATACTAACTTGGGGAGAACAAATTTCAGGGAAATCAAGTACTCATGATTGATGATCTCGTGCTCAGTGTCAGGGAACGCTCATTCTCTCGATCTGGATCAGCATCACCGGTGGGGATTTTGTTATTTTCTGTAAGTCCAAAGTCTTGTAAACCTATCATTTTGTTATTTCTGGCACCCCTGTGGCAAAGCAGTTTATTCCAATGATGCCTAATATTCTATAATTGTGGATAAGGGGATAAAATTAGTTCTTATGCAATTCAGATTCTGTATGAGTGCCTGGACTAGTCAATTTGGATTTAGAGTGAGTTGGATTAAAATGCTTGAATGAACTTTGAGGGATTGGAGTTTTTGCTTTTCTAGTATATATGATCAACCTTTTTTCTTTTTACATTTAAGTGTAACAAAATCCATTTGAATGTTGTTCTAGGATGAGGATACTGACATCAAACTTGTCCTTGAAAAGTTTGGTGAGTTGGCTTCATAATTGTTCATTTATGAAAAACTTTATTTGTTCACATTTAATGGATGCTGATTTGTCTTTGTATTTGATTCTGTGAGAAACAAGTTATATTTTAAGTGTCACCTTTCGTGTTTGTAGATTATGCCTTTTCCACTGAGACTGTCATTGTGGGTGACGGAGGTTCTCAGTTTTTATACCGAGGTGAAACTGCAATTAATCCTTCTAATAACAAAGCGGCGAGTTCTGCTGCTGTTGCTCTTTTATTTTCAAGGGATAGAGGCAAACCTCCTGGTACGTGTTGCTTTTTGATTAAAATTTTACGGTTTCGAGTTGTGATCCTGTTTGTCTGATAACAAAAGCTCTATTTTACAAGGTTGTCACGAATGAGTATTGTTCACTAGGTTGTTTCAAATAGACCCAAAAAATTTGGGGCCAAATTAAGCCGGTTTATTGTATTCTGGAAAATACATGAACTACACACGAACTAATACACACAAAAAGCTAAGAAAGTCCTGAATTTCAGATTCGTGGCCTGAAACTCCAAAAAGCAACATCGGTCCTTAAGAAACAATATGCATTGTTCATTAGGTCGTTCCGAATGGACCTTCAAAAGAATACGGGGTCAAACAGAGTTGGTCAGTCATATTTCATAAAATTCATAGACTACACATGAAAAGCTGAGATAATCATAAATTCCTGTTGTGACCTCAAAACTTGAAAAATGCAGACTAATAGGCACAAAAAGCAGAGATAATCCGAATTCCTGTTTTGTGATCCCGAAACTACAAAAAAGCAACGTTAGTCCTTGAGAAACAATGAGTATTGTTCATTAGGTAGTTTTGGATGGATCCACAAAAGTGAGGCCAAACAAAGTTGGTCAATTGTATTTTGAAAATTTCATGAACTACACTTGAAAAGCTGAGATAATCTTGAATTCTAGTTTTGTGACCTTGAAACTCCAAAAAACGACTTTGGTCCTTGTGAAACAAAAAGTATCGATCACTAGTTCATTTTGAGTGGATCCACAAAATTTAGGGCCAAGCAAAGTCGGTCTATCGTATTTTGAAGTCATAAAATTCATGGACCTATACACACGAAAAATTGAGGTAATCATGAGTTCCTATTTCGTGACCTCAGAAACTTGAAAAAATCATAGACTAATAGACACTTGAGATAATCCTGTATTCTAGTTTCGAAACTCCAAAAAAAAACGATATTGGTCCTTGAGAAACAAGAAGTATCGTTCAACAGGTCGTCTTGAATGGATCCACAAAATTTTGGGTCATACCTATTTAGTGGATCGAATTTCAAAAACTTCATCTATTAATACACACGAAAAACTGAGATAATCCTTAAGTCTTGTTTCGTGACCCTACTCTAAAATAAGCAATGTTGGTCCTATAGAGGCAATAAGGTATCGTTCACTAGGTCATCCGAATGGACCCACAAAAATTTGGGGGCCAAATGGATTCTGTCGATCGTATTCCGAAAAATTCATCGACTAATATATACACCAAAAGTTGAGATAATCCTGAATAGTGAATTCTAGTTTCGTGACCCCGAAATTCCAAAGTGACGTCTGGTCCTTGAAAAACAATGAGTATCGTTGAGTCGGTCGTACTGAATGGACCCACTAGATTTGGGGCCAAACCAGGTAGGCATTTCTCCAAGGCACTAATATGATGACTCTTGAACCAATCAATAGAATGAAACAAAATAAAGTCAGTCGATCATATTTTCAAAAACTTCATGGACTGGTACACATGAAAAACTGAGATAATTTTGAATTCTTATTTCATGACCCCGAAACTCAAAAAAAAAAGCGATGTTGCTCCTTGAGAAACAATGAGTATGGTTGTTTAGGTCGTTTCTATTGGTCAATCGTATTCCAAATACACATAAAAACCGAGATAATATTGAATTCCTATTTCATGATTACAAAATTCTAAAAAAAACAACATCGAACATGGAAAAGCAATGAGTTTCTTTCATTATGTTGTTTTGAATGGACCCACAATTTGGGGTCAAACGAAGTCAGTCAATCATATTCCGAAATATTCATGTATAAGTACACGTGAAAAACTGAGATAATCCAAAATTCTTATGTTGTGACCCCGAAACTGCAAAAAAAAAGTGACGTCAGTTTGGTAGAGGCACTAAGTATCTTTCACTAGGTCTATTCGAATGGACCTGCAAAATTTTGGGCCTTACGGAATTGGTGGATCATATTTCTAAAATTCATGGAAAGTAGTGATGTCAGTCCTTGAAAAAAGAGTATGTATTGTTCACTAGGTCGCTACGATGGACCTAGAAAATTTGGTCCTAACAAAATCGGTCGATTGTATCCTGAAACATTTATAGCTTGAGCACCGTGTAGTACATTTGACCTGTATTTTTCTGAATAACTTCAGTAAGTGCTACCCCATGTGCTTTCTCAAATGAAATTTTATCCTCTTTTAACTTTGTTGTTGCTCATGATCTTTTAGGTGCATTTCCTTGGTACTTTTTGAAAATTCTCAGTATTTTTAGAGTCATGCTGCTGCTTTTTTAGCAGTTATATCCGTAAATATAGTTTAAAATATTAGATTCCTTATCTTCTAGTTAATATTCTCGTTACTTTGTATAATTTAGTAAATTATAAGCCAAGGGAGTTTATCGTGGCAATCATTTTCTTGGATCCTTTAAACAGGTGTTGGGGAAACTCAGTTTCACGTAATGTTATCCACTGGCATTTCATCGATTGGGCCTACATACAAAGCTGTTTCTGTTAGGGAGAGATCCAGTGACTACTCCACTTGGCTCACTGCAAAAAGAGAAGCAGTTCATGGAAGTCTGGATGGTCAGACTATTTTAGATCAGATTTATGATGAGGTAAGGTAGTACATCTTGTGAAGAAAATTGGAGTTAATGTATCAGCACTAACTTTTAACTAGCTAGTTTCTGAAGGAAGTAATTTACAGCTGGTTTGTTTAGAAAGGAGACTATCAAATGCTTACAAGATATGTAGTGTAACTAGTCTCGTTTCCTCTTCCTCTGATTCCTCCACTGTAGTGAAGCCTTTTAAGTTCAGAATTGTGGGGAGATCCATCAAATGCCAGAATACTCTTGCCTCACTTTAGCAGGGATGAGCATGCAATGTGTTTAGAGAGATGCATTATGGCAGATTGGAGATATTTGGATGATTAGAGTCTATCATTCTGTCTTTGCTTATTTTCAAATTCCATTGGTAGATCTCAAAGAATGTGGGCCTTACAAATCAAGGCTATAAAAAGTTTTACAGAAGTATGTTTACTACCCCTTTTCATAAGAATACTTTATAGAAGTACGTTTATTATTTGATCTATTGTCGCATGCACAATTGCAAAAGGCATATAATAAGATATGAATAATAAAACTTCGTAAAAAAAATAAAAATCCTCGAGATGAACCAAAAAAAATAAAATTGCTTTTGTTAATCGGGTTCCATAGTGGTTTACTAATCTTTCTATAATGCCTAATTTGAAAGTGAAGGTTTCTTGTGGGCTGTAGATTATTTTTACTTGGCCATTTAGAACTTAGAAGCTGTCTAAGTGATGACATTTAGAACTTAGAAGCTGTCTAAGTGATGACATTTAGAACTTAGAAGCTGTCTAAGTGATGACATTTAGAACTTAGAAGCTGTCTAAGTGATGACATTTAGAACTTAGAAGCTGTCTAAGTGATGACATTTAGAACTTAGAAGCTGTCTAAGTGATGACATTTAGAACTTAGAAGCTGTCTAAGTGATGACATTTAGAACTTAGAAGCTGTCTAAGTGATGACATTTAGAACTTAGAAGCTGTCTAAGTGATGACATTTAGAACTTAGAAGCTGTCTAAGTGATGACATTTAGAACTTAGAAGCTGTCTAAGTGATGACATTTAGAACTTAGAAGCTGTCTAAGTGATGACATTTAGAACTTAGAAGCTGTCTAAGTGATGATATATTTTGCTCTCCTAGTGTACATGATACATCATGTGTGTGTGTGTCAACCCATGAACATTGTTGAGTTTCCACATCAGTGTGGGGATGGGAAACTGGTTTCTTTATATATGGTATTGGACAATCCTTGCCTAAGGTCCATTTCTTTACATGGCATTAGAGCCAGACTCATCCCAATTTTACTCTATGTTGGACCCGTATCTTATATTATCGGAGTGCGAGAAGGTGTTGAGTTTCCACAATGGTGTGGGTACGAGGAATTGGTCTTTTTATATTCTCTTGGGACAATCCTCACCGCATGAGCTAGCTTGTGGGGTTAGATTGGGCCCAAGTTCCATTTCTTTACATACAAATTCGCATTATTCTCTGACTTGAGATGTTTCTCTATTATTTGATTTTTCCAGCTTGGAGGTCATAACAATTGTCCAGTTCTATATGTTGGAGTTACGAAGAGAAGGAAATGCTCTATTGGCCAGGAAAAACCAAGCTGGATAAGTACGCATGAATTCCATGAGGTTTTAAGGTGATTAATGCACCGTTGCACTTGATTATCCATTTCTGGTCTTCACTTATGATGTTTGAATTTGAAGAAGTGCATTGTGGTTTTGGAGTTATTTAGTGATTTCTTTTATGATTAACTTGACAATTTTTTGTATTGTGAATATGGGTTGTATAGGACATAAGAGTGAAATTCAAAAAGGTTATAAGATAAAGAGTCTTCTCTGTTCATCAGGCAATCTCCTAACCCATTTGCATTTGTGTTTTTGCTCCTCACTCCTCTCCAGTCCACTTACATTGTTGGTCATTGTATTCTATTAATTGGTTTAATGGCGAGTCTTCAACGGTGAGATTTATGAGTTTCATGTTTTATCTTGATTGTATAAGCATCATGCATCACCATAGTGAGCCTTGTACAACATTATGTAAATGTTGCTATGTTTAAATTATGAGCATCTCTTTCTGAGGGAGCTATTAGCTTCCTCTTTGAATTTTTGAAGGGCATCGTATTAATATGATGCATTCAATGTTTCCTTTTGTTTTGGATCTGTTTATTCTACCTCAATCTGCTTCTTTATATATCTTTTTGTGCTCTCATTGTTTGAAGCGTTGGCATAATGATTTTAGTTAGCGTTTAATTCATCTTCACGTATTTTTTTCTTCATCTTCGTACCTAATACATTTTTTAAAGCAATATTTTTGTGGATGTTGTCTATAGTTCTGCGCCTAAATTGGTTGGTTTGCTGTCTGAGCTTGGTGAAGCCTTTAGCGGCTTGGTAACAAAGTTAATCCCCTGCTACAAGATATGCGCATTATGAAATTCCACTAACTACAGGTTAGTCACAATTATGCTATTCAAACCTTAGGTTGCTGTGGAAGATACTTGTCTAAGTGCTTCTTGCCAAATGTCAAATTGTAGTTACATTGTGAATCAACATGTACATTTAGACTTGCTTGGTTGTGGTTCCCTTCAAATGGTTTTGGGGTTCTTTGGTGACAGTCTGTATAGTTAGTTACGCATGCTTTGTTAATGATACAAAAATGCTCAGTTGAAAGGATAAAATCGTGAAAGTTTAGAAATAATTGATTGGAGTAGTGTAACTGACAAGTATAGTTAAAACAGTGAGAATTGACTCCGATGAAATTAGTTGTTGCTCTCCTAGTTAGAAACTGAATGCAGTTTTTTATATGATAGTTTGATCTTGGAATGGGATTGCACTTGTCAACATATTACTTCCATTTTTCTCTATTAAGATTAACGGATTGTTCTATATGTACATACTAAAAGGTAATAATTAGTTAGATTTATTTCTTGTTTTGTTCTTTTGCAATTAAATCTTAGTTGGTCCCTCCTATTTTGTCCTTTGTGATTATCCAGATTACATAATATGCTAAGAGCCACTCTTGCATCCAATCTATGTCTAGATAACACTTAAAGCTAATAATCAATATTTCTAGTCACTCTGATTTTCATGATGGTTAATTCTTGTATTGATGAGCATGTTGTGATAATCAAAAACTCTAGTTTAAGAGAACTAATGAAATAAATGCTTCCACATGTAAATCATGTCTTTAAGAGATCTTTTTATGCAATTGTATATGTTGAAAATATTCTAGTGTCTGCTATGATAGCATAGTAGTCTATCATAAATGCTATAAATCAACATCTTTGCATAATTATGGTCATTGATCAATGTATGTCTATAGGAAGTTTCAAGAGAAGTGAAATTAGATCAAATAGGTGTCTTGGAAATCTAGTAGCTTCGCAGTTAATTGCATTCTTGGAGTTGATATTTTGGTTCCTTTTTCACCTTATGTAACTAGTTTATGTTTTAAAATTGAAGTCTAATGAGTCCAATTGAATTCTGTTAAAAATTAGTATGGCCACTTGATAAAGCACTTTAGTATTCTTTATCTATTTGCCACTTGATAAAGCACTTTAGTATTATTTATCTATTTTCTTTATCATTTATTCCATAAATGTGTTGATATCTCAGTTTAGCTATAAACAGTTGAATACCTAGAAACATCATTTTTTTGCTTATATTTACGTAAACATGTGGTTACTTCACTCTTGTTCTTTGAGAGTGAAGTAAAATTTGTAGAGATTGTACTGGTCAAGATTGTGTCAATAATGACTAGTGTTTCCTAAGTACTTCATAAGGAAAAAACTTGTTGCTCTTGTTCATTATAAGCTGGTATATAGGATTAAGGTTCTCTTTGTTCATTCACTAAGGGCAATATATTGCCTATGTAACATATTTATTGTGTAGACAAATAGCTAATTGAAGAAATATGAACGACATCTACTTGTAAAAAAAATTAGAAATTATAAATGTCATTTGAAAGTTTAGTTTGATGATAGACTTCTTGGATCATTAACACTCTACTTCCTAATGTAACAATTACCATTCTGGGATTAAATTTGCTGGAATGAGTCGATGCACAACACTATACTTAGGCTTTTACTTGTTATTTCTTTTATTTGGTTCAATGTGGCCTAGGAAGAACTGGTTATTTTTGGGCGTATGAGTCTTAAAACATATACCTAGATATTATGTGATTCTCTCTACCTTTTAAATTTATATTTGTGTATTTTATAGTTGACTTTATCAAAATATAATTATATTTATCTTTTATTAGCAGGATGAACATGCATAATTCAACAATCCAGCAGTACAAGTTTTATCGGAAGAAGGTTTTTTTTAAATTGCTTGTAGAATTAGAATACAATGACTTTACTTATATGTATAATTTTTTTGACTATTAGTAGAGATATGCAAAAGTATTTAGTTTTGTAGGAAGTGGTAAATATCTAGTCCATCAATCTTATATATTGATGTTTGCAAATTCATATAATTTTTAGTTTAAATATTTGTGTAAATTTTTTAAAAGAAATGTGTAATGTGTATATAACAACTACAAAAAAATTATTGCTAAAGGTGTATGGAAAATATTTGTTTTATTGCAATAAAAATTATCGTTGCTAACAGATTAATTACTAATTTTTTGCAACAACTAATATTGTTGGTAAATAGTTTAACTTGTGGCAACAATAGATTTTGTTGTGATAACTTTTATAAGCCACAACTATACAAATGTAAGGCAACAAGTTTTTTGGTTGCATTAAGTCATTTTTGGCAACAATAAATTTTGTTGTTGCAAAAACTTTTCCCATTGGCGTTTATTGCAACGACATGCAACAACTTTTTTATTGTTGCCTAAAATACTTTTGGCAACAACATTCAATATAGGCAACAAAAAATATCGTTGGGAAACACCTTCTTTCTTGTGGTCATGATGAGCACGATGTAGAGTGTGGTGTTGTGAGAATGAAATCAATGTGGTTGCACTTTTGAGTGATCTTTTTGAGTGTTTTGTTGACTAGCTGCATTTTGATGTGATCCTTATAATGAAGATCGCATGTACGCTTTTGATCTCATGTGCTAGATGAGTATATTTTGAAGTGCAGAGTATGGTGAGGTCTTACTTGAAAGCATGTGTGTGGAGTCCTATAATTTGCCTTTTTATCCAATTATTTAAATCTTGGCGAATGTGAGGCGTGATCTTGGGAAACAATTCAAAGAGGGAACCGAAATGTCTATAATCTTTCATGACTACCTTTTGATGATGTTCAACCATTTTGGCACCATCTGAGCCTAACCCATTTGTTGGAAAAAAACCAAAAGAAAGCCTCTTAATCCAAATTGTCCCTACCTTCTCACCTAAAATCCTTTTTGATGCATTATTATGTTTGAATAGCCAACTTAGGCCAAAATCCTAAGTTGGTGGTGTAGAAAGGAAGGAGGAATTAAAGCCAAAGAAAGATGAAATGAGACTCAACTTTGAAGTTTGTTATAACAAGAAGGAACCCCTTCTTCTAAAAAAAGAATTACTGTGATGAAAATGCTTTGGAAAAAGGAAAATGAAAAAGAGAAGTGAATGAAATAAAGAGGATTCCAAATAAATTGAGCGAAAAGTCAAAGTTGAGTTGTCAAATAAAAAATAATGAAAAGAACTTGAGAAGAGGTGAACATGGTTGCAACAATGCTTTGAAAACATAAAGTCACCGAGCCAAATTGACCATACCGTAACCCTAAGCCCTATTACAAGCCTAAAAGACCCTTGAGATCTTTCATGAACTAGGTTGTGTGATGATTGGAAAATATGGGCAAACCTATGGGACAAAGCTTGTATGTGTTTCTCTTTTGAGAGAGTGAGAGTTGCATTTATTCCTTATTTTTATGTTGATTTTCTTTGTGACAGCATGAAATTGTTCTTGATGTGAGGGTACTCAAATGCATTTATTGAAACATGTTCTTGCATTCGAAGAGAAGCTAAAGTGATTTGAGCTTATGTTGAGACTGTCTAGTCATCATTTGAAGTATTTTATCTTGATTGAGTGTAGCATGTTGTTGAGAGTAGTCTTGTTATGGCACTTGCATGTTATCTCTCATTAAGTACTGTTGTAGACACCCATATTAAGCTAATTGTGTTCTTGATTTACTTGAGGACAAACTAAAGTTTATGTTAGGGGTGTTGATAAGTGGTAGATTTGCAGTCATTTGAGGTTTATTTAGCTCACTAATTAGTGTTCTCAATGCCTAATTTTGTCCTATTCCAATAAAATGTTGATGATTTTCAGCTATGAAGGCAAATGGACAAGGCAAGAATTGATGTTTGAAAGAATGGCCAAAATACAAAAAAGTGCAAACTATACATTATTGATCGCCAAATGAGAAAGGCGGATCGCCTAGTGATAATGACCTCGCCCAAAATGATAGTGTATAACACTTGTGTCTATCGAATCAGGTCGACAAACTCCATTAGAGAAGGAGATGCACTGAATGAGAAAGGTGACCTTGTTGATCATCAACGAAAATGATAGTGTAAGAAGAAAGATTAAATGCTCAAAAGGCAATGCCCAACGATGCCCCATATGTAAAAGGCTGACCCAAATGAGTTCACCGACTAAGGTTCAAATACCTGAAGCCT